TACCTATGACAACAAGCAAATCGAGCTCATCCTTGTCAACTGCCATCTGAGTGTGGAACGTCTTATCAAGCTCCTCGCCAAAAAACACTATGTCTGGCTTGATTACCCCATCCAAACACTTAGGACAACGGGCAACTCGCTAAATCAGAACGCATGTAACATGACCTGCACATAAACATTCGAAAATGCTCAAATAATTTCATATTCTGGATTTCATATTCCTTTTTACAGAACGTTAGAGGTCGTATGCAGCAACCCCAGGAAAGAATATATTCCCGACGACCTTCGGAGATACGGCCCGTCCGATTTATACAATATCCTGACGACCTTATGCAGCAAGCCCCGGAAGTCGTTGATGATATACCCCTGAAGAACTTCGGGCTTGCGGCAAACGGGGCTCAGGAAAAAGGAAAAATTGGATTAGCCGACTGAAAGATTATGATGTCCACCTGCTCAACTGAAGGGCGATGAATATATTGATTTTAGTCCTACTTAAGGAGCTCAGTAGAATATCCCCCTTACGAAGATTAGAACAGTAGAATACAAAAGGATTAAGCTCATTGCAAAAGTCAGGGACATAGTCAACTTCAAAGAGATACCAGAGATCAGGACAGGGCACAAACAAGGCAGATAATTTCAGACTGAGTGCAAAACGCACCTTTGCCATGACGTCATCCTTGATGATGTCACCTTCAAACTTAGCAAGGCATTTCAAACAAGTCGCTTTGGAGAAAGAACCTGTAAAGAGTTTGAATAAGAGGCAGAAAATTGAACATCGAGAAGAAAGTTTGGTATTCCAAAGGAGAGTGATATCAGTAAAAATTACTCACCATGGCATTCGACAACCTTTTCAATTTTTGCCTGCTTCTCAAGTGTGTCGATGTTTTGAGTGTAATTTCTCAAAAGCTGGTTGTTCACTTCAAGTTGGCGAATGAACTTGTGAGATATTGACGGTTCAAATTGGCCAGGGAAAATCTCCTGAATAAACGAAAAAATAGCTACTGAGGCGATATTGCTATAATGCACAGAAAGTTACTTAAGTTAGCACGAACTTCTTATGTTCAGAGAAAGGAGATTAGGAAAACGGGTAAGTAGTTCGGTGACAACTGTGTGGCAACGTTCGAACAATCGGCCAGGAAGGAACTGAGGAAAACGTGGCAAACGAAAGAGCGAGAGTGGAGCAGTGACTATGGAAGCAAGCAAATGAAGAGGAAAGTGGTGGAGCAGTAGTAAACAAGAATAATGAGAACAGAAGAGCAAGACATTTTTCAGACTGGGACTAGGAAACGTGGCTGGTGCACCAAAGGAGAAGTTTGGGACTCTCCAAAGACTTGAGAATTCCCAATGGACGGCAGGTTTCGCGATTCAGACATCTGTCACCTAATTATAAAAGTTCAACAGACAACAAAAGGATCGAGAAACCCCATCAAGATTAGGAACTAATTGCAATCTCACACAATAGAACCATGAAGAATGAGTTAAGGAAATTGGAACTCAAGAGAGTGTTGCTGTTCATACGGACTGCTTCAAACGCGAAGAGAAAGAATTCTCAATGAAGAGGAGTAGAAGGTGAAAATGCACATTTGTTGGTTGGAGATCAGGCTT